AATCACATGAGTAGCTTGTTCCCAACAGAAATGACAATCCCACCTCAGGCCTACTGCACAATCAAAATTTTAGTTTGTCACAAAGTCCGACTATGTCTCCAGCCCATAGAAATGTGAGACTTGTGCCTTCCACTTCTACTCCCACAACTAATGCCACATCATCCCAACTTCCTTCATCTCAAATCCTTTCACTTACAAGTTCTGTAGCTCCTCAAGTTTTCAATTTGACACCTGCTAGCATTCACAAGCCAAACCCGAAGTATGCTCTTGTTGTTCTTTGTGACATTCTAGTTGTTCCTTCGTTAGTCTCTGTTGCTATTCATTATCCCGAGTGGTTCGCAGCCATGGAGGCTGAAATGGCTGCTCTCTATCAAATCACACATGGTGCACTTGTTCCTTGTACTTCGAATATGCTGTTGTTGGTTGTCGTTGGGTCTTTAAAGCGAAAATAAGCGTAGATGGTTTTCTTGACCATCTTAAAACTCGTCTAGTTGCAAAGGATTTCATCAGAAAAAATTCGATTTCTTGGACACCTTTAGTCCATGTTTTGGCCAACAACCATTCGCATTGTTCTCTCCGTCGTTACTATTCGTGATTGGCCTATCTTGCAGTTTGATGTCATAATGTTTTTTTCTACAGGGGCATCTTAAGCCCCAATGTATATGGAAAAACCCCTAGCTTTGTAAGTTCACTGCCCAAACTTGTCTATCAGCTTTGTTAAGCTTTATATGGATTGAAACAAGCACCCTGAGCTTGGTTTGATCGCTTCAATGAATTCTTGTTGGATTTTGGGTTCACATGTTTTCCACAATTATTGGAAACTAATTGGCTGCTCCTCTATTTTTATACTTGCTCATAACAGGTAATTCTCGTTCTCTTTAGATTGGTTTGCAACCTTGATGGCCAAACTTTTCCAATGAAGTCTTTGGAAGCATACATTATTTTCTTGGGGTTGAGATCATTAGTCACTATTCGGTTGTTTCTCTCCTAGAACCAGTATGCAATTGATCTCCTTTGACGGGCTGATATGGCTGACTGTTGACCAATCTCTACTCTTATGGTGGGTGAAACTTCCCCCTTGTCAGAAGGGTGATCTCCTTTTGCACATCCTCCCACTTTCCACACATTGTTGGTGCTATCATATCTCATGGAGTGCAAAAAGACCCAACAATTGCGCGCTCTTCCATTGAAGCTAAATATCGAGCCATGACAATAGTTACTGCCAAATCTACTTGGATTTGCTCGCTTTTGAAAGATCTCGAGTATCCCAATATGCCTACATCGCTTTTTTGTGATAATCTCTCTGCGCTTCACATGACTACCAGTCTAGTCTTGCATGGGAGAACGAAGAATGTTAAGTAGATTATTGATTTGCAAGGGAAAAGGTTGCTTTAAAGTTTCTTGTCACTCGATATGTTCCTACAAACGAGCAGGCTGCTGACATCTTACTAGACCCTTTCATGACCAATGTTCTTGTCTCTTCGTAGCAAACTTTGTCTGATCGTCTCAAGTTTGAAGGGATGTTGACAGAGTAGTTCAACTAAAGATATGCATTCAGATGTATCCAGAATAAAAGAGATATCAGAATATCAAAAGGGTCAAGAATCGATATCAGGGAGCAACCTGATTCTTCTCATGTTCAGTTCTTATGATTCTTCTTATGTTCAGTTTCTTATACTCCTTGCAATTGTCAATTGATTGTGTATATAAACACACTCATATTGTAAATTATATTGGAATACATGAGATTTACTCTTGCTTAGACATTTATTTTGTGTATTTCTTCTATAGCTGTTAGTCAAACCATGTAAAATCGTTGTGCACTTTACTTTATGCTTTGATGGTTTGTATTGTTGTTATGAATGGGCATTCCCACAACAAATGAACTCAATCAACTTATTCCGCAAGAGTTTAATGACTAGATTAGTTATAAACTTTCAACTCAATAAACAGTATAAGATTTCACAATTTAATTGTTATGGCAATGGAATAAATAGTTCGTTATTTGAGAAAAAGAAAAAAGAACTATCAAAGGATAACGATAAGTGTAGTGGGTATCCACAGATCAAATCAATCAGGGTAAGCCTTTTTGTTTTTTTTTTTTTTTTTTTCCGTCTTCACAAGTTATGCTTCAAAATGGATTCCTTTTGGCTTCCTAATTTCAATTACCCTCAAACGCAAAACCAATACTGTGGGTACACTATATTTCATATATAGTTCTCTTTTAGCACTAAAATTACAACAAAATCACATGTTAAAAATAACAATAATAATTTTGTGATATTAAAGGGAAGAAAAAATATTATTTTTTTCCTTACTTGAATAAAATTAATCAAGATTATTATTTTATTTTTGATATACTTAATTATTGCATCTTCCAATTCATCACTTTCTACTGTCTGTCTCTCTATTTAGTTAATTTTGAATTAATTGCAGTAATAATACAGACCTTCATAAGTAAATATTTTAAAACCAAATAAAAAGAGAGTCCACATGAAAATTAAAACCCTTCTCCTTTATAGAATAATCGAAGAAATGAATTGTCGTAAATTTGGAGCCAACTATACATTCAATTACAAAAATATGCCATAAAATTCTGGCATACGTCAAAAGAATTTTAAGATTTTGCTCGCTTGCCAGACATTCTAATGTAAATATAAGATGATAATTTAAGACAAGATTTATAAGTAAAATAAAAAAAAAGTTTATTGTTCCAAGCTCTTCTATTTAATTACCTCGTAATAATTGATTAAGCAATTTTATAAAAAGGTAATTCCAACATCTCTTTCACAACAACACCCATCTCTTCTATGACATAGTACTTCCAAGGTTGTTTTTAATACTTTAGGAATGTTTGGATAGGAGTTATGTGAATTACTAGGGTTAAGTCATCTATATTACTTCTTACCATTTTTGGTTGTCAAGTAATAAAGGTACTGGTAATCTTCAATTGGTAATATTGGAGGTAATCTGATTACTTCCATTTTCTTAGGTATTCTAAGATTACCAGGGTTTTTTTTTTTGTTACAATTCTATTTCTTATTAATAAAATTTTGGACAATAATGCCCCTATTTTAAAATAAATTTACATTATATACTATTTTAATTTTATCCTTATTTAATTAAATTTTTGGACAATAATGCCCTTATTTTACACATTTACAGACCACCACTGCCACCCAGCCACCACCGCCGGCAGCGGGCTAACCACCACAGACCGCCGTCGAGAAGTCGTCGGAGTTCTTAAAAAAGACCGAGATTCGGTGGGAGGCTTCCACATGGCCTTTTCCCGGCCATATTGATGGTCGAAAATGGCTATATAAGGCCGATCTGGCCGAAAACACTAGAGCTAGGCAAGATCTGCCGTTAACGGCTAGTCTATGTCCGTTAACGGCCAGATCTTGCCCAGATATAGCTGTATAATGGCCAAGGATCTGATCGTTACGGCCATACTGGCCTGATATGGCTGTTTTTGACAATCAATATGGCCAGAAACGGCCATATCAAAGCCTCTTGGTCCGGTGAGCTACTCACAGCGACTTTCAATACTTCCAATGGTGGTTTGCGATGGCGGCAGGGGTGGGTGTTTTGTCATAAATTAAAGTTTTTAAAGAGGGGTATTTTATCTAAATCTGAAATATTGGGGGTTAAAAGAAATTATTCAAAATTAATAATAAATAATATTATATTAATATTTAAAGGGGACATATTTAGTAATTTAAATAACATACCTTCCACCCCATAACCAACATATTAATATAACATACCCACCAAGTAACCAAACACATTTCCTAAAGATTCTCAGTAATCTTTAAGGTAATCTAACTTTCCGTTAATCCAACATTCCCTTAACCAAACGCCCCTTAGGGCTTTTATTTTTATTTTTTAGTTATAGATATTAAATAATCTTCTACTTATCACCCATCAGACGGTGTATAAATTAACTTTAAAAAAAAAAAAAAGATTAAACTACTTTTTCCCACCCAAGGTTTGCCTTAATGACACTTTCTCACCCAAAATGTTTCAAAATACCACTTTCCAACCAAAGTTTATATTCTGTTACTACCTAAATTTCTCTTTGTCACCACCATTTGAACCTCCGATTTCTTCTCTATAAAACTCCTCTCACTCCGACACCTATTTCTCGTCGATTATCGACCACCATAAAGTAAGGTTTCTTGTTCTTAGTTAATTTTTTGCTGATTTCGTAACAAATATTCAATCATCACCACCATTTGATCCACGCGCCTCCATCTACAAAACTCTTATACCTTGGCTCTTGGTAACTCGCTGATGCCGGTTGAGAAAGTGAAGTGTATTTTAAGTATTAACAAAATATAATTCTGGGTGAGAAGTGATATTTTGAAACTTTTTGGTCACAAAGCGTCATTAAGGCAAACCTTGGGTGGGAAAAAGGCCTTTACTCAAAAAAAAAGAACAACTTTGTAATTCTGGCCAGATTGCAGTATCTGAATTACTACTAGTCTCAGTCCATAAGTCAATTACAATCCTTGGACCTTGATAATAATCTATGTATAGTTTCTTAATTCTTCTTTAATCATGTTATTTTAGAAACCTCAAAAATAAAACTTAGATACTCGAATCTTCCAGCCAAGTACAGTTTTTTTTCCCCCATTACGAAGCAAGATCAAATCAAAGAGTTCAAAATATATAATTTATCAGAAAAATTAACAGAACAGAGGAACAAAAATACAAATCTTCATCTATATATCTACCTTGCAGCTTTACAAAGACTGAGATTGAAAGGAAATAATGGGAATGCTACCTTGGGAAATATATTTCAGTTTTTCTTCTTGAAAGACCAAATTTTCGTTCTTCCTAAGCAGTCCATATTAACACAACATTTTGGAGAAGGGATCCCTTTTCCCACTTCTCCAAAATATTGTGTTAATGTGATTAAGAACGAGAGTTGGTGCTCTTTTAGAAAACAACGTGAGGGCCTAGTAATTTATTTGTTTAATGATTTGCTTATAATTGGCTTACCTTACCTATAAACAAGACCAAAAAAAAAAAGTAAAATTATTTTAAGGGAAAAACTACTAGAGACTCAACAATCTATACCCTGTAACTTTAGATGGATATTGGAGGAAAATGGATGAACCACTGAATATTATAATACTATAATAAAAATAAAAAGTTTCTCTGCATCTTATTTCAAATTTATAAACAAAAAAGTAATACTATGTAATTAAAAATTATTTTGCTCGGTGCCTTGGGCTATTGGCGTTGTGGATGAGTCTTTGCCATTTTCGGTTCGAGAAAAGGTGTTTTTTGGTTTTTGTCGCCTTTTTTGGGTATTGTCTTCTAGCTTTCTTGGTTTTGTTCCTAACCCGGGACATGTCCCAAGATAGAAAAAGATTTTTGTATTAATACATAGTCACGTATAGGCTATTTGTTTTGATCCTAACCCATGGGTTAATCCTGAGATAGGCTGACCATTTTTTTATAGGCCTTTTGTATATTTTATTTTTTTTCTCTTTTTAAAAAAAAGCTTACTTACCAAAAAAAAAAAAAATGTAAAAAAAATTGACACATGTCCAAAAATGCAAAAAGGATATATAGGAAAATATTAGAATAAGTTTATATCACTACAACTTAATTATTATTTATTCTAAGTCCACGAATGACAAATCTCATATATAATTAAGAGATACGCATCTATTTATTTCATGTACTCTTAATATTAATGTTTGAAGCTAGCTGGCTTCGTTTTCTTCTCGAACATAATTGCTTCCATCACTGCATATATAAATATAAATACATTTTTAGATGGAGTCCATGAAATGAAAATTTTGACTGAATTATTGGCTTTGTATTTGGACTGCAAATGAAACAAGGTTTAGAACTTCTCTTACCTTATGAAGCAGACCATAATCGAATTCGGATGGTTTCATCAGGAGCTGCTGAGGAACTTCCCCATCATTCAAAATTATATCCTAATGAACAAAGCAAAATGAACAAGTTCACATATATATAAGAATCAGACTTCTATATTTTAATAAAGCAAACATAATTATTTGTTATTATTATAGGAATTTATAGTATATTAATTACACACCCCATTGATATCTATAACCGGGAAATGCATCTGTTTTGCAGGGTGAATTTCAATTTCTTCCAAGGATTTTTCACTATCAGAACCCTGAAATATCCATACAATATGTACATATTATAACCTCATCGTTAGGAATGCAAGAGCAATTGATTAAGGGAAAAGATGATGATATGGAATCGAACCTTGTTATAATCAAAAGGAACGAAATCGACCAAGAATTCAAGAAGCTCATCGTTCCTCAAGGCTCTACCAATGTCAAAACGCTGTAGTGTTCGACGCTTGCAATGTTCAGTTTGTAGCCATGCACGAAGTGTCAGCTCCAGTATGAACAGCTCGCACGCCTTCGAGAACACGATTGGAGTGTCTGCGCTGATCATCTAAACATAATATACACAAACAAACTCACTCCATACAAAATCTGCTACCAAAATTGAAGAAATTAAGAAGGGGGAATCAACATGCAAACCTTCACATCGCGGTTGGATTTCATAATTCTTTTGATCCTTGCCAGAGGTAGTTGATGATTGTTCTTAAAGGCTTATCATAGATCATGAAAATAACCAAACCCAAAACGATAAATAAGGGAAAAGAAATGAGAATGTTGCGAATATAATTGATAGAATTAGAACCTGAAGTATTACGAATGTCAAATATTTGTTGATTCCAGAACATTTCTAAACTATTCCTTTGCGTCTTCAGAATCCGAAAATGTCTTGCCTCTTCTTCATCCTTTGATACAGAAAGTTTACATAAGATTTTGATTAATCAAACAAGCATAAAATTCATCATAGAAAAGTCTCACCTCAAGATCATCTTTGGTTTCCCGGTGATAGGGCAATACAAAAGGAGTCGTGGGCATGAAGTTATGCACCTCTGGAGATGGAGTTGAAAGTGTGAACTGATCCACTGACTGATTCAAATCCATGATTGGCCTCCTCATCATCCCACTCACCCTCTTCATATCAAAACACTCTAGCTGCAATGCAACCTTTAATATTGAGAGATAGTCCTTAAAATAGAGATAATGAACAGAGTACTTAAAAGGAAATTGTAAAGAAGCAATAAGTAGTTTTGGGTAGTGAAAGGTATAAGCATTAAGTTTGAGATAATGTCAAGCTGGGATTTTTACCTTGCATGTACTGTCATCTTCCATATATAGGAGAGGTAAATGTTCTAAGAAAACTCATTCTTGGAACTCTTGTAGACTCGCTTGTAAAACAAATATTTTAACTTGTTAGAATTAAACACGCACCGTATTATTATCAATGGAATTACTCAGGGATGTTTTGTTCCTAATTTCAGGTCAATTCTCATTAGTAATAGATTACACGCTCGAAACTAAAATTAATCTTGACATGTGTCTTTGTTATCACAAACTTTGACCAGCGCGTGTAATCTGTCAGCTTAGTCATTTTAACTGAATTTTTGAGGGAATTTTTAGATTTTGATTCTGAAAATGGAGCATGGAGTGTGTATAAAAGATTGATGTGAAGAGTATGTTAATGTAAAAGACATAGTTGTTCTTACTATGCTTTTAGCTGTAGTGGAAAACTGGAGAGGGATGTATCTGAATTTAATGATTTAATTTTTAGGTATTTAAAGTTTAATGAAATGGTGTTTTTTTATATTGAAATTAAAGGCATGTCATTTAAGTCTTAATGGAATAGAATCTGATTCTTAATATCCAACCTGTAACTTTGTCTTTGCTGGTTACAGGTAAAGTCTTAATTGGTAACGCCATGACTATATTCTTTAAGTTGTAGTAACTTTCGTTTGTAACTTTTTTTAACTAAAGAAAGTTATGACCATGACAAATTGCTAACCTGTGATGGTTTTGTTTGGTACGTAATGTGAATCTAGGAGGAAACAAATTCAATCTAACGTCAAAACTGCAACATTATTTGATGAAATTGTACCCCATTGTTGCATCACTCCAAATTTTACCTAACAATTTTTGATAGTGACGTAGAATGTTTAGTAGATAAGTTCTTGGAGAGGCCGGGCGTCACGTTGAAGTCCCACACCGATTAAATACGCTCAAATCTATTGAGTTATAAAAGGGGGTAATCCTCCCATTCAACAAGATCTTATTGGGTGAGGAGTCAAGCTTATCTCAAATTCTATCACGTAAGAAGTCCAAATGTGAGTATGTCAACTTAAAACAGACATAACTTTTGATCTAGAAGAAGTTGTGGGACTCATAAAATATCAACAGAAAGCTCGTTTCAAGCCCAAAATCCATTGTTTCGACATGTTTCGGAGCTATTTAAGTTTTATGACTGTTTTTCCTATATTATTTAGAGTTTTTTCTTATTTTATAATTAGTCAATAGTTAGGACTTCTTATTTTTTAATTAATTTAAATTTTATTTCCTTGTTTATTGGGAGTCTTGTTAGGATTGGTCTTACCACCTTATATAAATATATTATTCTTTTTTTTAAGAGATATAATATTTTTTTCAGATTTTCCTTCAATTTTATGACTTAAGTTTCCGAGTTTTAGACTTATTTTTCAATCTTAAAGGCCTAAAGGCATAGCCGAATGTTAGTTTTGTTTTTACGCCAACTCGTTGCGTCAGATAGTCAAAGCATGGAAAAACTACAGTATAATATAATATTATCTTTAAACTGCGAATGTTAGTATGATTCATTGTCTGTCTACCATTGTTGTGTTCATTGTAATTCATGAGCACCGTTGTGTCGTGACCTACAATCTGTTAAGAGGTCAATTAACATAGTTTTGTGTAGACGATCTTTTTCAATATGTCTAAGTTAACACAAGTCTTTCTTTCGTTTGAATCTGAGGGCGACTTCTGATCTTACACCATCACATACTAACTAACCAACTTATTTAAGTTGATTAATCCCCATCTTTCTTGAAAGTTTCCCTCGTAATAATGTTGCTACATGTATAATCCTTTTCATGTACTTAATGCACATACAATGGTTTAACAAGGGAGTGCATGTCATACACATCCTCATTGCATTATACAACGTAAATGTATTATACAGTTATTTGTTAACGGAAATTACATAATTAATGATCAAATTTCATATACCAACGGAATTTGTGGTACAAAGATCAAGTGTATATGAAGTAATTTGATCATTCATAGTCAGCATCGATCTTTCGCCAGCCGCAGCAGCAGTCGTTTCGTCTCTATCAAACGTAATTAAAAAGGCATGCGCAAACACCAAATGTTGCACTCATCAAGTGGATATCTCCATTCAAAATTTCAATCTCCGCCAACAAACGGTGGTTGGACACATAACTTACTCCTTTAAGAAACCTCCCATTACAGTACTAGTCATCCTTTCAATCATTACCACCAACTACGTCCATACACCTCCAACTCATAACACAAAAATAATCAAAACTATAACCAACTTCAATTCGACCGCCCAAATCCAAATTTATACAACAAATTAATATAACATTATACGTACCCAAAAATCCATTAATTATTAATACACAAATTCTTCCTTATTCTTAATTATGATCATTATATATCTACATACAAATATAACTCAAGATTATTTTTGTTGTTATTAATGGTGATTGGAGTTCTTTTATGTATTAGCGAGGGAGCATCAACGATCGTTCCTGCTCAGTGAGGGAGTGCCGGAAGTGGCAACGGTGGCCATAAGGACACGTCGCTCCTGATAAAACCATACGACAAACTTCCGTTTTATACTTTGGGTGTCTGATTACGGGACGCAGCTCGTTGATGCCGTGAGCGAATTGGCAGTAATCACCGTATGGACACGTGCCGGTTTCCTGCCACTTGTTACAAAGCTCCGTCTTCCACATTCCTTGATTGTACACCTCCAGTCCTTCTGCCTTCGCTTTTGCCGCTTCCTCCTCTCTCTCATTATTACCAGATGGCACATGCGCTCTTTGCTACACGCGCGCATACAATAAGAGATCCCCTTAGATGTTTATAAAGAATTCAGTTATAAAATAAAATAAATCAATTATAGTGAGCTGCGTAGACTCACAGCTCCCTGTCGACTCGGACCGCTACTTTGATTGGTTTGATTGCTTTTAAGGTACCCACTGGACCGGACGGAGATGCTTTTAGGCAGAGTATCTCTTTCTACGACATTACGTTTCTCCATAACGCTCTTTGGACTGAAACCGGAGGAGATATCTTCGGTAAGACGGTGGAAGCTGTTAGTGATAAGCTTGAGGAGTCCGGCATTAGCAAGTCGGAGATCGGCGTTCTCCTTGACGAGAGTTTCGAGTTCTCTGTTGAGCGACTGTAGGCGAGAGAAACAGAGATCGTAGTGATCGCATAGCTGCTGATATTCCAAGACGAGTCGCGCTTGGTTGAGGCGGTGCTCGGTGGCGAAGTGGTAGTGGTGGTAGTGGTCGTCTGTAGATGATCTTGGCGGGAAAATTGAGTGGAAGATTGAACTGAAATCGGCACCAAAATCTGACGGCGGAGATGAGTTCGGCGTTTCGGTGGTAGAAGTCATGGTGCTGGTTTTGAAATCGGAAAGTGGAGACGCGTGCTCTCTCTCTTTATCCATCAACGTTGCCGCGAAAGGTACTGTGGAAAAACAAAACCAAGATAACCGAAAATGTTCTTTTTGCTTCTAATATATATAGAGTAACCAACGCGAACGGCAGTGGAAATCATCTACACGTTAGAGCAGAGTAAATAGGTAGACAAAGAGGAATGAGGTCCGTGAATCAAACTTAAGATTCAATGCAACTGTCAGTAATATAACACGTGGAAGGAGGTAATTCGCTTGTAAAAGAACCATCATATAGTATAAGTTGATAGTACAATTGCTTTCCCGCCAAGGGATGAGAAACCGTTAGAGATGCCCAAAACAGAATGATTCCTAAGTAGCGAGAAACACAAAACGTACAGTGGATATTTTTTTTTTTTTTAATGTAAAATATAAATATTGAAATTGAAGTGTATATGATGATGTGAGTAGTTGGGTGATGGAGTGGCAATGAAGAATGTGAGTTGAGTCGGGTTGGGTTGGATCTTGATGAAGGGAGGATTAAGACATGGTTTTGTTTTTCAAATGATAATATTAATAATGATACTATTTGTGGAAGTTGCTTGTATATGACTACTTTAACTAACTATGGTCCCCTCTATCTAGATGTAATGCCTAATCTTTTGTTGTTTCACCAACAACCATTTCACTAATTTTTTTTTTTTTTTTTAACCAAGGGTATCTAGACCAACTTGCATACAGGAGTTTGAAGGGAACAATTAAGTAAATCTCCTAAATGGTCATCTCTATTAGTGTTCAGAGAGTCTCAAACTCAAGAATTCATATTGAATCTTTTTGTTCTTTTACTCTCAGGTCACCCAACATCATACATTTTCCTAATTATCACTTTCTTTTCATTATTATTATTCTTTTGACTAATATAGGCTTTTTCTTCACAGATATGAGTGTGTGTTTGGGTGGGCCCAAACGACAAAGGCCCAATAAATTTAATTAAAATGGAGATGGTTAATGGGCCTCAAAACAAAGGTTCAAGTCCTTTTTCTGTCTGGAGTAGAGAGTCAAAGAGATGACATATGTTTCAAAAGGATATTTTATCTTACTCAACTGCAGTTTAATAGACAAAGCCTTTCAGTTCCTACCACAACTGGACTTATCTGCCGCTGGAGCATGTCATTCCACAGAGCTTAGGTAAAGTATCCCATCATTTATACCAAAATATTCAATCATATTCTGTTGCATAATTACTTTAAAATATATGATAAATGAATAAGATAATGTACTGGTTTGAATATTCTTCAACTAAATATCATAACTACAAGTTGGTAATTACTTTTGAAGTAATTAAACATCCAATTACAACCAAAAAAAAAAAAAAAAAAGAACTAGAAACCCAACATTCCGAGGGATATGTTACTGTAACTGATTTAAAACTGCAGATAGTCTTCCAGTAGCCACTAAAGCTTGGTAAAGTTCATAAGCAACCCGGTTCTCAACTTCTTCATAGGAATAAACACCACCCTTTTTCCCTGGTTGAGAAATCCCTTTTCTTACAAAATGATCTTCATTATTCAAGAACCCCACTTTACTAGCCAGATTTACCATCATCCCAACATAACCATTCTTCAAGTTTCCCCAAAGCTTAAAGGGTTTTGCAGCAACTGAACGAACAATCTTTAGCCTGAGCTTCGGCACCGTTTTGATCCTCCAAAACCTGCGTGACGCTGGGCCGCCATGGAACCTTGTTACCCTGACGTTCTTTCTGATTTTGGTTTCACCGTGAAGCCTTTGATATCTTCTTCTTCTCCAGTATCTCTGCAAAGAGCCGTAGAATGGCCTTGTTGTCAACTCCATTTTTTGTGTTGTGTTGTGTTGTGTTCTGTCTGCCTGTGTGGAAAGAGAGAAGAGAAAGAGCATTTATATAATAGAAGGCATCCAAGTCATAAAAGCCGGTTTGACAAGTAACTAAAATAATTTATTTCATGATTGATGACCACACATGGCTACAAATTCAAATGAAATTAATATATAGGCCAAGAAGTTTGAAATGCGATTGATTACATGCAATACAACAAGAAATTAATAATAAACAAAAATTATATGATAGTTAATTAGGAGGACCGGGTACCATTTTGATTATTAATGTTAATTTTCTACAGGATTACTGTTAGTTTTGCATGATTTAGTCCAATTATAGTTTTAATTAAGACTGAATCATTGAAATTGAAGGGATAACATTTAAAAAAATAAAAAATTTATTCAGCCTAGACTTGTGATTTTGTGTGTGAAACAAATTCACCCTTTGTATAAAATTCTAAGCAATACTGGTAAGTTTTGTCTCACTCAGGCGGGAGAAAACATTGAAAAATGGACTAGTGTATTCACATTTTATAACTAAATCCCATCTAATGTTGTTGTTTGGTAGCAGAAGACATTAATTTTGATGACCTAGATTCTAGAAAGAGAGCTCTCCCTTACACAGACGAAGGTAAATTATGCTGCCGAAATCTCACAATTAGCAGTCTAATTAATAACGACAAATGGGAATCTAATCCTCCTGTTATCTTTTAAGATCTCCACCAATGAAATGGAATTAGTTAGTGGGCAGACAATAAAGTGATGTTACTCATAGTTCTCTCTTTCAGCCGTTAACAATTACTGACTTTTAGTATTTACCTCATAATTAAGATTGAAATTTTGATGTGGTTGAACAATTGAAGAGTCAATATTTATTTATTTGGATGAACTCGTATTGATTCGGTCTTATTCAGCGTTCCTTTAAAATTAATTTGAAGAAAGGTGATTATAAAATGAATTATGGTTATGATTGTTGATCACCTAGGGGAACAATGACCGCTTCTAATTGGTGGCTTATTTATTGGACAGCTGGCTTGTTGGATAACTATTGTTGGCCGGGGTGGTTGTTGAGAGCTGAGGAGTATTTAAATTTAGGTTTATGAAATACATTGACCCATAATATGCTCACATGAAACTCCGTGTTTCATGTTAATTGAACCTGTTTGACCAGTTTTGGTCAATCTTGTTTTGCTCTTGAGTCTTGACTCATTATTTTAGGCTGCTCGCCCTTCGCCTATTATTTTAGAGGAAACGACTTTTTCTTTGCTTTAATGGCACTTTTTCTACTTAAAAAGTTATAAAATATTAATTTTTTAACCAAAATTAATATTTTATTACTATTTAAAGTCGATTTTAATGATGAAAATTCTTTTTATCACTACTATTTAAACTTATAGTCTTTTTTCTGTAAAACCTTCCTTATTTTGACATTTAATTTCTTGTCAATTACCTATCACTGTAAAGTCTATAGTTTCCTAATCTTAGCTAATTTTCAATAGTAAATATTCAATCAATTACTGTCATTCGATTCACAGATTTCACTCTACAAAATATTTTTTACCTTGACTTTTGATAACTCATCGAATGTCGATTAAGAAAATGAAATGTATTTTAAGTATTAACAAAATATAAATTTTAGGTGAGAAAGTTATACTTTTGAAACTTTTTAAGTGCGAAAAATGTGTTAGGGCAAACCTTGGATGAGTAAAAGTCGTTTACTCGTTATTTTATCCAGGAATAACATAAAACAGGAAGGGACCAATAATTTCAATGTGCTGCGTTTTGGACCAAGCTCTAATCTCTATAAGACGTCGGCGTATCCCTATAGTTTAAAATGATGATGCCAAGACGGACAGTGTAACATTGTTGACTGTTTCAATCTTATCCTTCTCGTTACTCAATAAACAATGAGAACCAAAGTTAAGCACAGGAAAACAGACACCGGCACTTCTCTCTGGAATTGGAATGGGTCTGGAAGCAAGAAAAACACTGCCAAGAAACAATTTCCAGTGACGGAATTCTTGCAAGAACATTACAGAAAAATGAGGGAAACAGTGTTGGGGCCTGGAGGTGGAGCTGGAATCGGGTGTGGTGTTGGAGTCGGGTTTGGCTTGGTTGGCGGAGTGGGTTTTGGTGGCTCGTCGTGGAACCAGCTAAACCTAGTTTTTGGGGTTGGAATGGGTTGTGGTGTCGGTGTCGGATTCGGGTACGGGCAAGGGTTTGGATACGGGTTTGGTTTGGATACTTTAGAGTCTTACGTTTCCAAACTGGATAGTTCAGATTCGTGAAAAAGGTTAGCAATTAATAAAATGAATTTCGCACTTAGTGATGAGCTCAGTTTTGTTGTTGTATTATTATGTTCTTTATGGTTCTTATCTGATAATGGAGTGTGTAGATTGAATACTCTGAGACTGATGGGTTCTTAGTAGACAAAATTTTTCAATACTACTTCCCATATATTTTCCTTCTACTTTGAAACAGTTTTTGATTCTTCTTAATTAAACAATGGTGTTATTTATTTTTCACATAATATTAATCCAGATTCTAGTTTATCAGAGCTTCTACATAGTTGCCACAACCCGCATTTGATCATGAAATATATCAAGACATATTGCTAGAGAATGGGAAAGCATTGATAGGCAATACTTTGGCATTGAAATTATCATCTAAAAGAACATTTTCAGGTTTTTATGTCTGCAATGAACAATCTTTACTTCACATTCTCATGGAGAAGCTAATCTCTTCGCAGTACCTAATACAATATTAAATCTTGTATCCCAACTCGTCAACTGACTTTCCTCGTCTGTCTTGAAGATCCATTTATCCAAAGACCTGTTTGCCATTTACTCATAGACAAGAAGCCTATGAGTCCCTTCTGCGCAGAAGCCTTTGAGTATGACCTGATGGTAAATGCACACCTTGATAGACTGAGCCAAACCCTCCCTGGCCAACCTTTGTAGAGAAACTTTCAGTCGCCGTATGAAGATCATTATAGCTGACGCGAAAACACATGCCAGATAAACTATCCCACAAATCATCGTCTTCCAAGTTTACTTGAGTAAAGTCCATTAATCTCTTCTTTTTATGTTGATAGTTGATACCAGAATCCGACATACAGTAGACCAGCAATTATTAATATGGTTGCGAGAACTTTGAAGACAATTAACAGAATATTTTTCCCCTCGGTACTCTTTTCATCACCACTTCCAGTAGAGACTAGAGACTTTGATATATGTAACCAGCCGAACCCTGCTGAGAGCGTTGCAGGCTACCTATTTCATCAAATAGATACCTCTGCCGAAGAATACCTTCATCGTCCCCAAGCAATACCAAGTTGCCTGAGTCCTGCAATTCCATGGATGCAACTTTCTCTCCAGTAGTATTTGTGGGCCAAGCTACACCATTTCCCATTTCCATATATACATTCCCATTCTTTCAAAAACAAACTTATCAGACTCTAATCAATTTGCCTCTATTAGCGGTCCAAACTATGGCACTACTAATGTGAATGACAACCAGCAAAAAGAATTGAGCATCCAAGGCAGTGTAAAAGCCACAACCGTAAACCGAGTAGTTAGATCGCAGGAATAGGCCATTGTTATCAATCCAGTCCCTGTGGGATGCCTCAAACCCAGTATATAATATATCTTGCCAATATGTTGAGAGTCAGCAATACGGGTCTTGGACACAAGGCTCCACAAAATTGGAACAATCCCATAATTCCTATAGCTGCAAAAGATGCACTGATCTTTGCTAAATAAACATAAGAAAATCTGTCTAAACATTGATGCCCACCTGATGTTTTGGGACTTGCTTGAATTTACAAAGGAAAAAATTGACAACCAACACAAATCTTCGAGTTGTGCTATATAATAAAGGAAAAATTTAAGGCACAAATTAATAAACTATCAAAATTCATCATTAAAAAAAACTTAATTATTCATATGAAAATCTAATATTAGAAAACATGAAGAGGAAACTCTCAACTGCTCTAAATACAACGCCAGATATTCAAAATTAATAACCTTTGTGAATGATGATTCGAGAAAGTGGCAACCAAGAAAGAAGAAACTACTTGTGAATCAAAGCAAAAATTTAGGAAGAAAGCGGTACAAATGAACAAAAGGGTCTAATCTTTCGGTTGCTAAATAACAGTTTTGACACAAACAAAGCTTACTGGAGAATGAATGAAAATTGAGCCAAGAATTAAGAAACAAAGAGTAACAGGAGACTGACCTCCTCATGTGTTGATTTCAGTTACAAAGCAAAAGAGTTTTGTAGAAGTAAGTGTTCCTTTTTGGCTTTTTTTTTCTCGATGTAAGAAGCAAAAGCTCTAAGAAAGTGAATTGCCTGTTCATCTGTGTACACTGAAATTTGACAAGCTTATAGTATTGCACTACACTTGTAATTATCAAGATTACTAGAGTTGAAAAAAATACATTTTTCAAACCTTGTATGTATTTATAAAAAATAAATAAATAAGTATTGGATCCAATTCGTAATCAAGGAAGGGGAGGAGGCCTAAGTCTAACTTCATCACATATCTCCCCTAAATTCTAAAATGATCATTACAAATCTCCACCAAAATTAGTCGAAAATCTTCAATTTGTAAAAAAACTAAAACCTAAACGTTATCAAGGAGCCTAACTAAGCTTACAAGTTCTTAGAAAAAATATCCTCATCTAAGGCCTTTCATTCTTGCTGCTGCCCAGGAGGTTGAAGTTTCAGATTAACACTTGACTTCTTCAGTTGAGCAGCATTCTCCTTAGAAGGAGCACCTGAGGACGTCACCAGAAACTGGTTAGGCTGTGACGATGGGAGATTCCACGGAACTGGTCCTCGCAGGGGAGTATGTGACAATGGGAGATACCACCACTGAACTGGTCCCTGCAGGGGATGCTGTGACGAGGCGGGATTCCACTGAACTGATGGTTGTAGTGGAGTGAATGGAATGGTGCTACTGGATGCACCAATAGACTGCTGTGGACTGTATGGAGTTGTGCTACTAGATGCACCCCCAGATGGATACGGATTATTTGCATTTGGCCTCATCCATATTGGAGTACCCATTAAAGATAGTGGGGGCATTTGATAAACCTGATTGTTAGGCTGGAAGCTGATCGGCCGCTGAATGTCAATTGACTTCTTCCCTTTACGTTGTCGAGGGCTATCTACATTCTGATGAACATGGTTGTGGCTAATCTGAGACTCCTCGGATGTTTCTGATGTGGACTTTCCCATCGCTTTAGGACCTCCTTTCATTGTGTAAATCTTTTTCGCTGTCAATGCTAGCTTAGTGTTAAGTCTACAAAGAGCTTTCTTCATTTGATCCTCTGAAAAACTGTCAAAACGTTGATCCCATGTAGCACACTCCAGTCTGCGACTATTCTTGGGAACTCGCACAGCCCTATCATCAACTTTCTTCACCGTATTTTCATTTAAATTAGGCAAAGAAACCGCCGTTCTTTGTCGTTGATCAGTTTTGTGTGTACCCTTGTACCTGTTGATAATACTAGTTAGCTTACCTTCCTCTGAGGCCCAGGTCTCAGGCTTCCCAGGCTGATCTTTATGTTTTGGACCATAGATGATCATACATGCGTCCACATCACAAAGATTTGTGAAACTCCCAAGCCTTCTTCAACAAACTATTCTTCTCTTCCTGAAGGTTGCCAAACGAGCTTTTTCATGCTTTATTGGTTCCAGTTTCTTTGGTTTCTTAGCCATATCTAACCTGCAAAACGAAAATAGTATTCCGTCAGACAGAGAACAGATACTGATAATCACATCATTATCTCTTCATTGGCAAAGATAAAAGTTCAAAAAAAAAAAGGCTTTAATGGGGCCTATTCAAGGTTTTGAAGACTCACACTGAGTACAGAGACCCAAAAGAAATTTCCTCGATTAAACTTAAATATAAGAAATACTTATAGGTTGAGTGTGGTCTTTTCTAGGAAAAGTAATCTAAATAATAGGATACAGAAAATATATGTGAAGTAGGAGTATAGAAAGAATTGATAAATTCGTAATCTTAAACAATATAAAACTAGGAATATAAAATAGTGTCAAACCATTGAGAGAAGGAATGCAAAGAGTTAATAAATAGAGAATTCCATAATTTATATGAACCTGTCCTCTCTATAAACTTAACACTACTTCAATCGACACACATGAATTAGTGAAAAGACCAGTCCAATCATATTTCTAGAGACAAACATTATTGGCTTCAGTTCAAGATGAAAAATGCATCTTTTCAAATTTAAAGACTGAGAAAACAAAAAACAACATTTGTTCCTTCTGGTTTTAAAATAATTCTAAAGTGTATTCGAATCCTAATTAAACAAGGAATTGCATTCAAATTCTATGCACACAAGGAATTACATCTAAATTCTAAATCAAATATGTCTTTATCATCTAACTACAGCCACAAGTTGTTAAAATTTAAAAGAGAACAATAATGAGCATGTTGCAGTTGAAAAGATCAAAAAATTAACCAATAAACAAAAAAGATTTCAGCCTCCTCTTTGGAAGGGCTAGATTTTAATTGAAGCCAGTACCTTTGCTTTAGTATAGAAGAAAGATCCTTTTGGAATAACTCTTCTCTAGATATAAATATATTTTATAGCAAGAAATTCCTCTCATTATTCAGGATTCATATTTAGGAAACAAAAACACAACACTGATTTGGTGTTAAAAATAAAAAGAAAGAAAACCCTGTCAACTTACCATAGAAACACCCCATGACACAAAATATTAATTTCTATATACAAGATACCAAAAATGGTCTCCACTATTTAATATGGCCTAGGCAATTTCTCAAACGACACTCTAATAACACACCGATTAACTTCACTCTCTCGTTTAAAAACTAAAACCTAGTACAAGATGAATAAATTATAAACTTTAAATTTCTTTCCAAGGAGATAATACCAAATCTTGATTCTGGTTCGTGGCTTTGAGCTACAATTTGATGAGCATTATCAAGGTTTTGATTTTCACACAAACATCACAAGCGTAACAGTAAAAAGATTCCTTTATTGCCTATAAATTTTCATAGGAAAATAAAATCAGTTTAAGAGAAATTAAAATCTTCAACAAAAAAAAAAGAAATCCTGACGAAAACCCTATGTAAATGTTTATGTAACCGTTGGTAAATTGAATTTCAATAGAAAAAAAAAAAGGAAGAGTAAAATAAGAATTGTACTTACAAATTTTAATGTATTGTTTCGTTGGAGTTGCAGAGGTTGTTGCCTCTTTTGAAACTTGATTTCTTGGGGAGGACGTAAGTGATTGGGAGCAATTATATAAACTTAATTAGGAGAATCCTATTTTAACTAGGAATACGAAACTAAAAGAGTCAAGTTTCAACGGAAATAGGAAACCAATTATATTCCAAATATTACTCTTATTTTATTTTTAATTCTTTGGTTTAGTTATTTATTTATTTTGTTATAGAATTTTCCATTCTAGGTTAACATGAAAGAAATTAGGATAATTACACCATGTTTCCTAATATTATAAAAGACTTTCTTATTTAAGATAAGTTTAATCACAGAATTGAGAATAGCCCCCCGCTAGGCCCCATCCCATCCCCATCCCGTTAAATCCGCTAATAAATATCTGTTGAATGGAGAAATGACCTTTTACCCTTCAAGCAAATCTTTTAACAAAATCTTTCTAATTCATAATAACAACAAAAACTTCATAAGCTTTACATTATCCCAACAAAATTTCAGCCATTGTTCTCTTCTACTTGTACTCAACATTCATCTCAATGGCTACTTCGAAGCCCCGCACAACTGGTAAACGACAGCTGGTATATCAAAGAAGAATTTATGGGGGAAATAGAAGAAAGAACGATGGAGAAGAAAAAAAAAACAGAAGGAAAGAAAGAGCGCGATGGGGATGAAGAGTAAATTCCGAAAGTATAAATATAAAAAAAAGAAAAAAGGGGAAAAAGTTAGGGTTCTTTAAAATCTAAAAAGTCGTTAGTGTCCTTTCTAAAATGAGAAAATTTCAAAAATACCTTTTCATTAGTTAAAATTAACGGAATGGGATTAGGGTCTTACGTTAAACATACGGGGTTCGGGGTAAGGCTGCAAAAAACCAGTAACCGAACGGATATGTGCTTTTTGTAACCGAACCGATTTTCCGATTCAAGGCATATTGCGAACCGAAACCGGTCTGAAAAATGGCATAAACCAGTTGCAAACCGATCTGTTTTTAGTTTGCATCTGGTTCACTAGTTTGCAAATCGGTTTTATTAAAAAGCTTTCCTTTTCTTTTTTTTATATCTTATGATAAAAAAAAAAAAAATTCCTACTTTTGGATGACAAAATTTCAAGAGACCAAAAAACCAAATGTTCCACAACAATTTGACCAATTAATCACCAATTAATGCCACTAAATTCTTCTCATCCAAGCATAATAACTAATTACATATCATAAAATATAACATGTTCTTTTAAATTTTAATGGCCAAGTACAAAAGTGATTAAGAAATAACAAGTGAAAGTTGCAAACTGACGTTTCCCTCCACTTTAAGGCTTAAGCATTCTTTAATTGGCCAAGTGCAATCACGGAATCATTTGCAAGAGGAATGCAAAACTTACATTTACTCTCTCTATTACCTTTCAAAAACTAATAATTTAAATGGATTGCTATTATTTATTAAGGCCAATATCATAATAGAATATGCAAAAGGATTGATTGCAACCATTATAAATGATATCCTAGCAACATTATAATGAGAAAATAATCAAATATCAATAAGCATATCCCAGAAATTGAAATGAAACTATCCTAGCAACATTATAATGAGAAATAATAAAATATCAATAAGCATATTCCAGAAATTGAAACAGAAACTTACCAACAAAACCTCTATGCCAAGAGGACCAAGAAGTAACACCATATCACATCTAAAGACAATGTTGTGAAAAATGAAAATCTGATCAAATGTTTTCTTTTCTATCATTATAATCAGAGTATCAGACATACAAGACAAAAAATAAAAGTAATATACCTCATTTATTGGGTTGTCGTTCAATCATCCATATGACTGTGGCTTTCCAATCCGAAACGCGCAATTTCACAAATAATTGGACAAGCACATTAGATAAGTTATATTTGCAAAATATATTTAACAAAAACAACAAATAAATAACAAAAAATTAAAAGTAAAGGAACAATTTTACCCATGTCAAGTTTTGATATTTCGTCCAAGCTCTCCTCTATGATGAATGGTACACGCGAAGCCCGAACCCAATCTTGTGTACAAAAAAAAGCCTCCACCATCTTGAGAGTGAGGGAGCTACAAAATAGATCCAATACACGACCGCCCGTACTAAAAGCCGACTCAGATGCAATAGTAGAGACAAGCATAGCCAATACATCTCATGCTATCATAGACAAAGCTCCATATTTTGTTGAATTTAACTTCCACCATTGCAAGATATCAAAGCTCTTGTTGTCATCTTCACAATCGTTCGTTAAATATTTGTCCAACTTTGTTTTGTGATTCACAACTTTTTTTCCAGCCTGTTTCTCATGATACATAACCTTTATAAACTTCTCATTATCAAGATCTACATCATCAACATCAATCTCCATTGCAACTCGAGTCTGCTCACTTGGTTGCGCACTAAGGACCACCTTAAACGAACTATGTTGCTCAAATAAAGCCACCAAAACTTCCTTCACTCTTGTCTTCAACCTATCAGCAAGAACCGTATCAAAAGACTCATTAATAACCCAATCCACATATTCTAACTTGTGTCTCAGATCTAGTACCTCTGCAATGAATAACATGAGGTTGATATTATCAATATTTGACCAATATTTATCATATTTCCTCTTCATCCTTAGAGTCATACTACGTAACCCAGGATCTAGATTGTACACCATTTTGAATCTTCAACCCAATGCCAAAAATGTCTCACATGTAAGCACTACTAGTGACATAAAGTGAGTCAGAGACACGTAAAGTAGCATTATAAAAGACTTTCAAAAAATGTAAGAAGTACCGTGCATACTCCCAATCAATGCATGTAGGCAAACCCCTAAACCTTTCCCCCCTACTAAGCTCATCTGAATACTTACTATCCTATATTTCCAACAACTCAAAAGCTTTCTGGAATTTTAGTGTCACATCCAACATCAAGTATGTGGAATTCCACCTTGGTTCAACATTGAGAACCAATTGAGCTTTACTTTCAATTTTTTCTTTTGCCACACACTCCTTAAATTTGTGTAACCTTGCCGGAGAAGACCTCACGTACCTCACTGCCGAACAAATTTGGATTATGGAGTCGTCCATATCTTTTAATCCTTCTTTTACAATTAAACTCAATATATGAGCACAACATCTCATGTGAAGGAAGTCACAATCCAAGACACTCCCCTTCCAACTTCCCAACCGAATCTTTAGATAACTTATTCCAACATCATTGGAGCTTGCATTATCAACAGTGATTGTGAAAACTTTAGAAATACCCCACTCAAGCAAACATTTCTCCACTGTCTTGCCAATCGTTAAACCTTTATGACTAATAATTAGGCAGAAGTTTATAATCCTTTTTTGTAAAACCCAGTTT